TTTTCAGTGCTGCTACAGCAGGCCCGCGGGCTTTGCACAAAACACATCACCCACATATAATACACTCATAATTCACTAATGTTTGCTGAATGACAGGGTTAAGTGGCTGCTATTCCCGGCCTCCCACCACACTAATGTACTCCAGACCCGTGCTCCTTTTCTTCTGGATTGCAGTCAAATCGTTTCCTGCAGCCCTCGCAGTGGAAGCTCCTTCCACCCCGAACAAACATGACTTCGGAAATTATTTTCATTTGTTTTTCTAATCTAATTTTCCCCTCGGTGCTCCACTAATCATCAATCCCATTAAGGGCTTGATGTGTTGACTGCTTTCCAGAGAGCCCGTTCTGCATCCTGCCGTGCGCTGACCTCTGGCGGGCCGAGCCCCCGGGACCGCTGAGCCAGAGGATGCCCTGGAGAGGCTGCTGGAGCATCCCCTCCATCCCTGCCCAACCCTGCAGCCTGGGCTCCCCACGAAAGGGACCTGTGCCATCCTGGAATAATGACTGATGAATAATGAGTGTTTACAACCTAAAGGAGGGGTGGGGGGAAGTTGGCTCCGCTCCAGGCCAAGCGCCAAAGGGAAAAACAGCCTCTGGTGGAGTATCTGAGCTGGGGAGGCTGTGAAGGCAGAGGGAGCGCGTCACTCCAGCGAGGAAAATGCACAGCAACCGTGTGGGGAACTGGGAATTTATCCAGCAGGATTGGGAGCCCACGGCCACCCACTGCTCCTCCTGGAAATAGGATCAGTGATGCGAGATGTGCCTGGCAGAGCACAGGATCAGGAAGCAGCCTTGGGACACCAGGCATGGGACAGGGATGGGGCAGGGATGTGCTGCCCACCCCGTGGGAGCAGGAGGGGCAACGAGGTGATGAATTTTGGGGTGATGGGGGTGATATCATCCCACAGGAGCAAATATTTCCTTCCCCCCCACCCCAATGAAATGGACTCCATGGATCTGTTCAAAACAGTTTATTGTATTTTTTTGTCAGACAAACACATTGATTTCTGGACCACAGTAGAGGATGGAAACCTTTCACAAACTTATTTATTTGAAAATACAAATATAAAATTATACTTTCCACATCTGTGATGTGAGAGACCCCCATCCACATAGTATTTTACAACAGGGCTTCAGAAAGCCATACACAGAGACCTGAAAGATGCTTGATATATATAGATACATATATATATGTATATATATAAAAAAAAAGTCACTACCAAAGTTCTCATCAGTTCATACTAAAGTATAAAAGGAAGGGCTAGGCCTGCCACTGTGCCATAGTTTATTTAGGTACATTTATGACCACCTGAAATGCTCACTTGCATCCTAGTACTGATGGGAGTTCAGACCTTGTACGACAGAGAATGAAGGGGGTGCTACCTACGACGGTCACGCGACAGACGAGCCCGAGGGGCTCTGGGGCCAGGGCTGACCCCGCTGACCACCGGGCCCTGCTCGGACACTGAGCTCTCCACACAACACAGTCAGACTGCTGGGGGGGGCCCACAACCGACCACGAGGATTTGCTTTCTCAAACTACATTTTTTTTCTCTTTTTAAAAATTATTATTATTATTATTATTATTTATTATTATTATTATTGTGGTTTTTTTTGGTAATTTTATTACAGTATTAAAGTATTGCTTAGCTTACAGAATCTCCTCACGTAGTGTTCGCACGGGGTCGATGGATTCTGTACGTAGGAAACTCTACAGTGTCTGTGCGCAGACCGGGATCTGCCGGTGTGTCTTCGATGCATCCTGTCTCTTTGCCCTAACACTAACCTCAGCTCTCCCTCTCTCAACTGTGTCGCTTTTAAAAAAACAAACCAAACCATTAAAAAAAAGAATTCAGAAGATTCCACCCAAGAGACATCTCCATAGCATAAAAGACAGCTATGAGTTAGTGTTGGGTTTTTTTTTGTTTTCTTTTTTTTTATTTTTATTTTTTTGTTGTTTTTTTTATTTTTGTAAACAGTTTCATATGCAATATCATACAGAACCATGGCTGGCCTTGAGTAAAAATGTAGTAAACTATATTGCTTTATTATTGATTATGTTGCATTGAGTGAATGGCAGAAACGAAACAAGAAGGGACGTGTGGCTGGAGTCGCTAGCCCTCATTCACACTACAGATGAAAGCAGGGAAGAAAAGAAATCCCAACACCTTTCAGGTCGTTTTCACCCACAATTACCCAATGGTTTAACTAAGCCTAGCAAGATGTATGACATTCACCAGCAGACGCTGCTGTACAATGGAAAAAAAAACAACTTACAGCAAAGAGAGCCATGCTACCTTAAAGTCCAAGCTACAAATTCAACTCAAAATGAACATTTATGAAGTGTAAGAAAAAATAAAAACCCCAAAGGACAGATCAGGCTTTGCTTTAATCGAGCCGATCACAAAGCACTCGGGTTCTTTGAAGGGGGAGGGTCCCAAGCACCTGTGGCTCCTTGGAAATGTCCCTGGCCCAGGTCACCCAGTGCCTGGAGCCCCTCGTGTTGGCCAGGCTGGGGCCGAGAGCTTTTCCCTGGCACTGAGAGCTGGAGAGGCTGTGAGTGTCCCTGGGGTGTCCCAGGCCAGGCTGGGCAGGCTTGGAGCCCCTGGGACAGAGTGAGGTGTCCCTGCCATGGAGGGTGGCACTGTAGGGTCCCTCCAACCCAACCAGTCCATGGCTCCACCGGCCTTCGCTCCCTGGGCTTGAGTAAAACAAAGGTGGAGCTGAACCTCTGTGCTGAAAAATTTACAAAAAACCCCCAAACAAACGAAGAAAAAGAAAAAAAAAAAAAATCCTTTAAAATTGATTTCTAGATGAGTGGGGGACTAACGTGAACCTTAGTCTAGGTAGCCACATCAAAACATCTTGGATTCCACGACATTTGTGCTATGGGCCACTGGGACTTCTCAAAAGGTATATAAACATCTAAAACATATTCACACAGATTAGCAATTTCTTCTGAGCATTCTTAAAAAAATATGTTTTTTTTTTTCTCTTAGTAAAATCGTTTTAATATACCGTGCCTCCCTCTTTTAAAAAATAAATTAAAAAAATCCAGTTTTGCATATCTAGCATTAGCATTTAAGGTAGTATGGCACATCCCCTTTCCAAAGTCAAGGGTGGGGATCTACAAATGCCTTAAGAGTTTGCCAGCATTTTTAACATTGTGAGACCTTTGGTTAGTTGAAACCGCATCAGATCAACAAAAGAAAAATAATAAACAAGGAAAAAAAAGCACAGAAAGAAAAAAGAGAAGAAAAAACCAAAAAAAGGAAAACCTTCCCAAAATTATTAGCATTTTTTTTTTCTTAAATAAGAGAAAGTTCTATCCTTACTGGTCCTAAATCTGATTAACTACATCTAAATTTTTAACCTTAATTACGATACACCTACCAATATGTACTAGAAGAGGAAGAGAGAAAGAGGGGGGAAAAATTCACTACACTACCATCAGGACAGCACTCTTACAAGATAAGCCATTTTATACACTATTAACATACAACAATGATCAACAAAGAATATTCTATGAGGTGACAGGGAATGGAGAGGAAAACCAACTGGTAGTACAGTACATCATCAACATTGACAAAATAGCAATAAAAAATTCCCTGACGGCACACACTGAATCGCAGGGAATTTGGTTCGTAGTATTTTTTTTTTACCTTTTTATTTTTTAAAGAATTCGGTTTTATTTCTTTTATTACTTGATCAAGTCTCAATATTTAAAAAGCGTCCAGCATTTTGCTTAAACCTGGTTGTTCTGAAATAAGAAAAAAACCTAAAATATTACATAAAAAGCATGATTTTTTTTTTAAAAACAAGAAAAACAAGGTTTCTCCTTTCGGTTAGCAGTATGGTGCCTTGATTTGTTAAAGATGCCTTGCTCTACCTTGTCTATTGAATGTCTACATTAGTCTACTTGTTAGTAAAATTTACAAAAATAGGAGTGCAGCAGCTCTTTTTAACAAATGTCGCATTCAGTGTCTTATACTGGCTGTACCTAAAGTACCAAATTTATAAACGTAACAATTTAAAAAAATATTAATAAAACTTGTCAATATTACGTTAAAAAAAGAAGAAATATATCCACACTACAGTATGTTCTTAATGCCACCTACCATGTTGTACTTCTAGTTTGCTGTTGCAGGCCTATTTACCAATATTAAAAAAATTAAATTAAAAAATATCCTTCATAAGTTTCCTCCCCCAACAGAGGACCATATATATAACAGCCAAATATTAAACATGTGCAAATAGGAAACTGTCAGTTTTTCCCCTACCAGTCACAGTGCAATGATGTTTTATACTTTATTTCTTTTAAATTCTGTTTACAACTACAATAAATTAAAATCTTCCGTTGCTTCTAGGGTGAAACTTGTAGCACTGAGGTATTCCCAAAAAAAAAACCAAAAAATAAAAGAAAAAAAAAAAAGAAAATAAAAAAACCAAAACCAACCAAAGTTGTTTTCTAATTTGATAATACAGAAAGTGATGGATAATAAAGGAAATCATGCAAGCTGGACGCTGCTCTGCCTGCACAGGGTGCCCAGAGCAGCTGAAATGACTGGACAGCAAGTTGATCTAGTTTAAAACAATGTCTAAAAAAAAAAAACCAACAATCAACCAAAAAAAAAAAAAAACAAAACCAAAATAAAGGTGTGCTTTGAACCATAAATGCGCTAAGTAGGAAAAATTGTAGCTTCTTGATCAGTTTTGGGAAAAGCAGGTTTTAAATTAAAATAAAAATCCCACTAGACTGTTCCTTTGTAAGCTGTGCACGTCTGAGAGCGGAGCTGCTGGTATGAACTGGGCGAGCTGGGAGGGTCCCACAGCATCACAGCCCCCCGGGCCAGCTCCGGCAGTCGCTCCGAAAGGCTACAACTTCCTTGTCTTTTTTCATCCATTTTCATAGAGAAACTGCCTTAGGCTGACTCCATCACAAAAATAGGTTTGTATTTCTCTTTCTTAATAGTTTCTATGTAGTTAATGGAATTGTATTTACAGCATTTTATTATTTTTTTCTTTTTTTTTTTTTCAGAATTCACAATTTCAAAAAACCTTATATCACCTCTTTCAACAAAAAAAAGCACTTATATAGAAAAAGGACGCGCAAAAAGTTTGTCGCCCTCGCCTTATTGCCGAAAATAGAGAGAATTAGAGTAACCAAGACGCCACAAAGGAAAAGAAGGGCCAGAGAACCTGTTGCTCCCCCCTCCCCGTGCCCTGCCAGCCCCCCGTGCCGCACCCGCCGCTGGCTCCGCTCCCCCCGTGGCCCAGGCTCCTGTCACCATCTCAGCATCCTTTAAGCAACAACAACTACGTAAAACAGAAGGGAGGAGGAGGAGGAGGAGGGGAGGTGGGAAAGAAAAGCAAAAGAAACCCCTTAATATAACAGTTACACTATGGTTAGGCTCTCGCTACATACACAAAGAATTCTGACTACGTGGCTACGAGACTATGTCAAAAAGGCTACGAAAAGATGTGGGTTTGGAGAGGCTTAAAAAGAGGGGAGGAGGGACCCATCGAGAAAATAAAACGAACAAGAAATGGGTTTTATATACATACTTTTAAAAGCTGTTGTTTTTATAGTACAGCAGATTCATGAGATGATGAGAGAGATTTTAAACAACCCAAGTCCTTCGAGTGCCACCTCCAGTTTGCGTTGGCGGTGATGATGATGATGATGATGATGATGATGATGTAGTGCTCAAAGTCTGATGAGATCACCCAACGTGGGGCCCTTCAGAAACTTCGCCCTGTCTTGCCCGGACATCCAGAGAGACTCTGCGTGGGGAGAAGGGGGACATGGACATGGGAGAGGGACAGTTAATTGAGGTCGATTAGGATTTTTAATAAAAAAACCCAAAGTGTTTGCAAACACTCTGCGGCCACGGCGTCCCCGATCCACCCCGAGGGAGGATGCAGAGGGAATGGCTGGGATACTGAGGTGTTCCCAGGACAGCCCCCAGGGGACAGGGGGCCTCATGTACTCCCTGCTCTTATTTCCAGCTCCATCCCAGCTAAGCCTGGACTGGGGGCCTGGCTGAGGGCTGGGCTGCTTTAGGAACAGTAAAATGGGAGCTGATGTACAGCCAGGACAAAAACGGCTCCTCAGGCATCTGTTATGCTATGAATTCACACGGCTTTGGCTAAAATGAGTTTTCCCTGAAGAACCTGGAAGGTGACAATTTTTATCTGGGCACACTGAGGTGGCCAGGATTTGTTTGATACCAGAGCTTCAGCCTCCAACGCTCCGTCCCTGCCAGCGCTTAGAGCTGAGATGTATAATACAGAAAAGAGATATAAATATTTCGGGCACTGGCTCTGCAGGCAGCTGCTCACGGGGCTGGCCAGGAGAGGATGCTCCCTGGTCGTTTTGGGATGACCTCCAAAAGCCATCCCCAAATAGCCGTGCTCGGGGTGAGGTCCCAGCAGCATCTTGCAGGGATGTGGGAACAGATCCCTGCCCCGGGAACCTGCAGCTCAGCCAAGTCCTGCCTCGGGGATGCCAGGACCAGCCGCTGCCGCAAGCGTTTCAAACTCAGCGTTCCTTGAGGAATTAATAATAAGGCTCATTTCCTCCTCTCAAAATCTATTTTAATTAGTAATGAGCAACATTAAAAGCACTTTGTTTTTAAGTCGTTAATGGTTTGAGTCTCAACGCTGGCCAGTAACTGATGGCTGCGGCGATGGGCTGTGCTAAGTGAGGAGTGATTACAGCCCATCAATCTGGCGGAGCTGCCGTCACCGCGCGTTATTAGCCTGAGTTATGATGTTCTGCTCGGGCTCCAGCTGGCCTCGGGTACCACCTCACTATTCCAGAGGCTGACGGCCCAGGAAACGTGAAGGATTCTGACAAATTGATCGGCGAGCAGACACCGCTACGTGCAAGTCATAGCTGGGATTAAGCAACAGTGCTTATGGCACTTTTTTCTTTCCCATAAAAAACGCTCCTTGGTGGAGCAAATCAATTGACAGAACAATTTCAGGTGATCTTGGGGGTGTGTGTGGAGATGGAGAGTAAATAGAAACCCCCTTTATCCACTAGTGTTTAGGTATAAATCTATTTTTATGTAGTTTAAAGTCTCCAAATGTTTTACACAGTTCCCAGCCCCCTGACTAACTTTGATTCTAATTTTGTAGACTGATTTTTGAACGTAAGTGATGTGACATTGATCATGTAGTGCTGGGTAAGAAGCAGGGAAATAAAATCTGTCACATTTATTCCCTCTGCCTGTCCGGGCTCGGAGCTCTGGAGGCAAACCTGTGCCATTTAATTGGGATAACTTCTGTTTTTCATTGTGTTTTCTAATCTACTCCATTCCGAGTGCTAAGAATATTTGTTTGCAAAGATGAATATGCCAAAGGCCAAATAATAATAAAAAATAAAAATTAAACATTTAATTAACTCGAGCTTAGTTCAAAGGGTAGGAAACTGGCAGCGATCCAGGGCTGCGGTGCTCAGGTAATGCCTTTAATTTAATTTGCTCAGGTTTAATTTTTTTTTAATCTTGATAATTGCTTTATGGTTACAAGTTACAATGTTATCTTTTAGCTGTAATATTTGGTACAGCACTTAATTAAGAATGATGGTTTCTCAGTAATAAAGCAGTGGGGCTCAGCTACTTTTAGAGCAGTGCGCTGGGAGCAGATCCCTGATCCCACTGGGATTCTGGCTGCCGGCACTGGGGGTGATTCCCCACGGCTTTCTGGGTTTTCTCCCTCTTCAAATTATTGCATGAAGCATCATGAAGATGAAAAAGTGACTTTTGGAGGGTTTAGCTTTGGATCTGTCTTCCAGTTTCCAGCCTGTGAGGTTGATTTGAGTAACACAAATCACAGAAAGGAATGATTAAAGGCCAAGGAAAGACAAAATGAAGATAAAAAATTGTTCACTTAAAGTAAATATAGGGGAGATGGTAGTTCAGCACAAAGTACAAATGGGATATACTGTAATACCTCCAAGTGAGATGGCAACCAACCATGTGTAACGTTTCAATGGTATCCATTTGTAAAAGCCGTTGCAATCAAAGGTCCCTAAAATTGTACAATTGTTAAGTTCATCAGTGCTCTATACATGGGAACAGCTGATTATTAATTTTGCCAAGAAATTATCAAAGGATTTGAAAGACTGTGTTGCCAGCATGAATAGGGATTTCCAAGAGCTGTTCTGGTCACCAGGTGTGCTCCACCCTATGGTCACCTTTCCAAGACCATCATCTTCTCATCCCCCCAGGTGCAAAAACAAGCTTTGGGGTTCTCCCTTCTTTATTTTTAAACCAGGGTTAGTAAATGGAGAGTGTTAAGTAAATATATATGTAATAAAAGCTATGGGATTCTTTGCAGTTATTGGGGGAATTAAGAGGCTGCCAATCTGCAAGTCAATTATAAAATGGTTCTTTGGGAAGTGTTAGTGCAAACAAATCTGGATACCCAGGCTTGCACCTGGTGTCCAATCACTTGAAAAATCGGGATGTTGCTGAGACCAAAGTACTCAAATTTTCAAGCACAAACAGGTTTTTAGGTGAAAAACGGAAATAAGAGGTGTTGTAAGTGGTGAGAGGTGGCAGTCTGAACTGATACAGCTCCTTGCAGAGCAGTAATATTCCATGTTTGTGCTAGAATTGATCCACAGGGATTGTCAAGTCCATGGTGTGACCATGGGAGGGGCAGGCCCAGGATGGGAATTGGGCACAAAGCGAGGCAGAGGGTCTGTTTGTCTTTTTTGCAATAAAAATAAGTTTCAGGAACTTTGTCTGCACTACACTCCTGCTCCCCCCATCCAATTCCATCAGGGAGTGAAGCTCTCCTCTTGGTTTGAGGGACTTTTTGGGGAGCCTCTGCACTTCCTCAGTGTCCAGGAGATAAAAACCAACTCCTGGCTGTGCTCCAAAAAGGGCAGGAGCCTCCGTTGGTCTGTGCTGGGGGTGCCAGCGGGGCGGAGGCAGCCCCATTCATGCTCACACACAGGTGACACAGCCACGTGCAGCCTTGTTAAGCCAATCTCTGCCCCTCATTAGTGCGATTGCAGACCCAACGCGGCGTTAGGAGGCACCTCCCGGTGACCCCACAGCCCAGCGGGGCCCTGGCTCGGAACCTGCGGCTCTCAGGGGCTGCCAGGGATGCCAGGACCGGCTGGAAGTGACCCCAAAGGACAGCAAACAGGTGAAGAGGGTCCCACCAGCCAAATTAAAGAGCTAATTTTGCTCGTTTAGTGGGAGCAGGGACTGTTGCACTACCCGCCAAAGGGTGCATCAGCCAGGAGGGGTAGTTGGGCCCATATGGACAAGCAGGGATTTAAATCCCGTATCTATTAAATATGGCCCTTTGAGACATGTCGTGTCTGGCTGCAGACAGTTCCAAAGGAGTGTCTGCACCAAGAGATGTTCAGGTTGGACATTCAGAAAAAATTTCTTCAGTGTAAGAGAGATTTATCACTGGAATGGGCTGCCCAGCGTGGTGGAGTCACCATCCCTGGAAACGTGGCCATTTGTGATTGGTCTGGTTCACAAGCTGGGGACCGGTCAAAGGCTGGACTCGATGATTTTAGAGGTTTTTTCCAACCTTACCGATTCCAGCTGGAAGGCCCTGGTAACTAACGATTGCTCCACAACTCCAGCCAGGAGCGCAGCGCTGGCTCGGGCATCGCTCGCAGGTTCCGGCAGCGAGAGGCCGCGCTCGCCGTGGGGACACCACCACCCCAGCCCGGCCCGAGCCCCTCCCGCAGCCCCAGACACGAGCCCCGCCCTGGCACGGGTACTTACAGCGATGCCGTGTCCGAAGCCGGAGCCCGGCTGCGGGCTGGCGGCGCTTATGTAGTTACCCACGCCGGAGTCCTGGCTGGCCGTGCCGTAGAGATCCGCGACGGGCCCGGGGCTGTTGGCCCCGGGGAAGCCTCCGGGCCGCGCTGGGTTGGAGCCTGCCGGGGAAGCGGGTGCGCCAAAATTCGGTTGAGCACTGTAGCTATTCAAGACTGGTGTGCAGAGAATAAAGCTGGGTATGAGGCCAGACGCCGGGCATGCACCGGTATTACAAAGCCAAACACCAGAATAAACAGCCTAGGCCCAATTCTAACACTTAACCAAGGCCATGCGAGAGGAGAGCAAGTACTGGAGAAGAGTCAGCCCGGACTACTACGAAGCTTAGAGCTCCAAAAATATATATATGGATATATATAAAAAAAATAAAAATTAAAAAAAAAAAAAAAAAGAACAATCATTCAACACACTACTGCAACCAGAGACTGGAGGTGCTCATTTTCACCAAATTATCACAAAATGTAATAGGTATTTTTCAACATCTGACTTGATGCTCATGCAGTAGTAACAAGTTCTCTAGGTCTGGGCACGCCGAGACAGCATTCACATCCCATGCAAACTACAAAGGAACTAGTTTGAGACTACACATTGTGGTAATATTGATATTAAAATGTTGACAGCAAATAACTTGAATCACGTCTAGGAAAATCGTTTTTTGGATCCATTCGATACTTTTGGAAAAAACCCGCCCTTTTAGATCAGTAAGCTGTAGAAATAGTTCAACAGTTGATTTTTTTTTTTCTTTAAATGATATGGAATGGAACAGTTTGGATTTTTCTCTTTTAAATATGACCAAGGAGTGTGTTGTTTTATTTATTTTTTTTTCATTTTGATTTGGAGAGCGAAGGCCTACCTTCGTCTCCAAAACCATGCTTGGGACATCAACCAAAATTAAACAAATAAATAAAGATCAAAAGCAAAAAAGAATTCCAGAGGGTGGATGACAACTCACCTCCTAATGTGGAAGTAAAAGAAAATTTAATTTTTTCCTCCCTTAATTTTTGAGGTTTTTTTGAGAAAGAAAAACAATGTAAATAAGAATGATACTGAAGAAGAAATTTAGATATTAAAGCATGTTAGATGATCAGGCTTCAGGCATTTCTCACGGCTGCTCTTGGATGTAGAATTTATGAGGAAGAAGTTTCAATGTGAAAGAAAAGTCAGCGGACTGGGAGGAGCTGGATGGAGATGGCTGCGGGAAGCTGGAGCTACACCTGGGTGGTACCTGCAAGGTCCCTGGGGAGCACAGGGAGCCTGGTCTGCCCACACCCACCGTGTCCCCCCCGTGTCCCCACCGTGTCCCCACCGCGGGCAGCGCCAGGACACGATGGCCAACGGGGCTGGACGTGGGCCCAGCACCACAGCCTGCCCCAGACCCTGCCTGGGCACCCGACCCCGCCACCGCCATCTCCACCCTTCCAGGCTGCCCCAAGGCTACTCCAGCCTTTTCCTCTGGCTGCAACTCCCCGTGATCTTCATTAAACACCTGAGTGGGTTACGAAGTCTGGTGGCCTGGAGTGCCCTTTGTCCGTGGGTCAGAGCTGCACGGACTGACCACAGGGCTCTCCTGGGCCTGGAGAGCAGCCTGGAGCCACCAGGCTCTCACCAAAGTGCTGTGGTGGGCACAGGCTGCACCTCTGCTGCCCTGGCCCTTCCCTGCATTGCCCAAGGGGTCCCCAGCTCTGGTCAAGGAAAGTGCCCCTGGCAGCTGGTGGCTCTGTGGTGACAAGGAAGTCAGTTCTGGACAATAAATGATTCACCTCAGCTCTGAACTGGGAGCAGGGGAGGGTAAGTAGGACATCTAAGCTAGCAAGTTAAAAGAAATAAGGCATGAGAGAGTAAACAGATTTTGGACTTCGCTGGCAAACAAAGAGCCTTTTTTTATTATTAAAGATTAAATGTCAAGATAACATTTGGCCTTCTCACTCGTGAAGAAAAATATCCAGCTGAGATGTTCCAAAGCCCTTTATTACTAGAAGCCAGCACTTTTCCCCCCTTTTCTTCCCTTTGGTTCAATAAAATGGATGTGAATTTTCCTGCCAAGTCACACAGAAAACCCAGTTGGCTTCTCTGAGCAACAGCGGGACGTGGCACAGCCAGAGGCATCCTGTTAGTAAAATACTCCTGCAAACCCCACAGCAGCACCAGAAACCTCCAGAACAACCAACTGAGTAACCAGAGAGAATCTCTGTGTCCCCACCCCCCACATCCCACTCTCTCATTTAAGACTGGAAGTAAGGCTTTCACACCTGCAGGCAGAGCTGGCAATGGGTTATTCGGGTAGTATGAAAAGGTGATTTTACATTTACGGACCAGGGGTTCAACACTCCACACTGCTCACAGGAGGGAAAACGGGCATGCCAAAGGCTGCTTCACAGCCTGGAAAGTGCTGTGTGGAAGCTGGGATGCCCTGGCACCTCTCCATGTGGTGCCTGAAAAACTCCACAGAAAAAGCTGGAAGCTTTTCCAGAGCCACCACTTTGCTCCAGACCCTATAAATGAAACAGAAAGCTCCCATAATTAGCAGGAGGCTCAGCAGCCCCAGAAAGCTGTATTTGAATGATTTGCTCAGCCATGGTTGGCTGTTAAGCATTTGTCTTCTTCCAGGAGCTCAGGTGAGCTCACCTGGAGCCAGAGGCACCTTTACCACAGCAAAGGGACCCTGAACAACTTCCCCAACATGCAAATTCTGATGTGCTCTGGCAAGAACTACCTGGAAAGGAGCTGGTTTTACACAAACCTGGAGTACCCTGAGGCTAGAAGGAAGAAGGGAAAATGCGTGCAATCCTCTAGACTCCAGATACCGCATCACTAAGAAAAGTTAATACTTTTTGGAAACCTGTGTCCTTAGGACAAAATTCTTGATGTTGGAGGTTGTCAGAAGTTGTCCAAGGCTGCTGTGAACTGTGGGAATTGCTGAGTACTGACATTAATTCCTTGCAGGCTGGAAGGAATTGGAGACCTTCCCCTGGCCACCAACATCCCATGGCAAGACAGAAACTGGGGCAGATGTTTGGAAGCTAGTTGCTGAGAAACTGTCAGGGGATCGTGCTGTCCATGGAGGGGAGGGAACCCCTGACTGATGCCAGGACCAGGAGCAAAGCCTGACCCACTGCTGGGTCCCAGCAGAGCCATGGGCTGAGCTGACTGGATCCATCAGACTGATTCAGCATTGACTGAGGGCTGGCAGGGCCATCTTCTCCCCTTCCAAGAACTGCCAGCACTCAGGAAGTCCTGGCAGCAAAGGACCCATTTCAGGTCCCATTTCCCAACCAATTGTACAGGAAACCATCCTGCAGCAGGCAACTTCACAGCTCTGAGACTGTGCCTGAGAACCTTCAGCTCGAAGGCTTCCTCTATGCAAAATTCACAATCCCAAGTGTCCCCAGGAAGCCCTGTGATAGATCAAGGTCAGGAGAGATGTGGAAAAGATTAGATGTGTCTGTAAGTCACAGCCAACCACCTTTTATCTTCAACCCCAGCGATCCTCCATCCTCTGGGCTACAGAAGCTCTTTCCTGTGCTGATGGAGATCAAGGGCCAGCAGCCAGGAGTTCTGGCAGCGATGGAAGAGGGCAGGTTAATGTCTTGGTTGCCTCACTTAGAATTTGCTGTGGTTTTTCTTACAGAAAAGACTCTGAGCCTGTGAATTTTGATCAGCAGGTGAACGTTTGCCTGCAGGCCAGAGGGACAGGCTTTGGGGAGCCTCAGGCTTACTATGCCCAGTGTCACAGTGGCTTGGGGAGCACTGAAAAGCAGTGAGGGAAAGTAAGATGGGACACAGAATGATATAAAAAAAGGTGTGTTCATAAAGCAGCCCCAGCAGTTTTTAATGCCAATATTGGTGCTGGTGGAATTGGGAGTTGTGCAAGGCTGGCACAGCAAGAGCTGGACCTCTTCAGGCAGTGAGGCTTTATTAGCAACCCATTGTTCAGGAGAGCGCCTTTATCCCCATTTAACACATGTGTGAGATGCTTCTCCACGTTCAGCCAAGTGTTTTATGTCAAGGAGCCAAGAGCTGGAACCCAAAGCTGAGGCAGGGGCAGGAGGCTCTGGGCAGAGCACAGGGATGCGCATCCAGAGCCTTCTCTGGCAAACTGCCGCGCTCACACAGACCCTGCTCGCACGTTAATCCATGCTCAACAGGAAAGGTCATTGCTGAAAGATAAACTCTCCCTCGATGAACTCTTGAGAAATTTCTAAGTCAGGATTCCTGCTGACATTTGCCTTACGAGCAGCGTTACGCTAACGAGGGCCCGAACGCTGCTGGGCCTGGGCAAAGCACGACAAGCTGGATGCTGGAATCCCACCCAAATAAACTCAATTCAGCCACGAATGATGAGGGGAAAGAGGAGGGGAAAAGGAGAAGAAACGTGAGGATTTTGACATTACTGTCCTATGAGGGGAACTCACACAGTACTGGGATGACAGTCAGGCCCTTAGGGACTGGTAAATGAGACCTGATGACAAAAAACCCACTTAGGCACCACTGAAATGTACTGTATTTCAAAGGAAACAAACCAGGGACAGTCTGGACAGAGGAGTAAGACAGACACTGCACGGGGATCATTGTCCCCTGCACACAGCCCACATGGAGCCTTGGTGACACCCTTCCCTCTCCTACAGCACCAAAACCCAAAGACTTAAACACCTTTGCAGGGGACTTCAGGTGAGGAACAGTGCAGCATGTGTGTCTGCCTTCCCTGCCACAGTGCACAGGTGAGGAAAACCTCATGGGGGAAAGAAACCACCACAATTCACTGGATTTCCTCTTTGAGCAGAGGCAGGATATTTCTTGTCCCTGGGCAGCCATGCATGGGGTGAGCAGCTCTGCAGGGATGGGGGAGCTTGGCAGTGTGGGGTTAAAGTAAGATTCACTGATTTTACAAGTCTTTTCCAACATAAATGATCCTATGGTTCTCATCAGAAATTAATTTTTCATCTCCTGTCAAGCATGTCCTACAACCAGAGCTGGTCATCTCCAGCCCTTTTCTCCTTCAAGACTCTCCTCGTTCCTGCCTTGTCCCACTGCCCTCAGGGTGGATTCCTGTATAAACAGGTTTCTTCACAACTTGTTGATCCAGTGCTCTAATTTCTGGATGACTCTCTCATCTGCCATAAACAGCCACGCACAATTTGGCAGGCATTTCTACCAT